ACGACCACAGATCATCTCGCGCCTTGTGATTGGATTCATGACACACCAGGAGGAGGCTTGAGGCAGCAACTGAATTCTTCCAGGTATCAGGAGCTGTATCACTGGGGCACCTTGAGAAAGAGTTACACATATAGGGTGTCCCGTAACTCGGTTGCTGGCGCACTCAGCTCACACATTTGAGGTCCGGGTGTCGATCCCCGGTATGGGTGGAAACATTTGGATGTGTTTCCTTAAAGACACCTGCTGTCCCTGTTGACTTATCAGTAAATAGGTACCTGAGGTGTTAGTAAACTGGTGTGGGTCGCATCCTGGGGACAAAACTGACCTAATTTGCCCGAAATGTTCAGCATAACAAGGGACTTTCTATATAGTATGTCACTGATGTCAGTTATGGTCTGTATACCTTGTACATGTTCTGGTAGAAATAATGGTTATTATTATTTAACAGAAGAAGAAAATAGATGATAACCACAACTGCCTCGACAGAACACTGCCTCGACAGAACACTGCCTCGACAGAACACTGCCTCGACAGAACACTGCCTCGACAGAACACTGCCTCGACAGAACACTGCCTCGACAGAACACTGCCTCGACAGAACACTGCCTCGACAGTACACTGCCTCGACAAAAACACTGCCTCGACAGAACACTGCCTCGACAGAACACTGCCTCGACAGAACACTGCCTCGACAGTACACTGCCTCGACAGTACACTGCCTCGACAGAACACTGCCTCGACAGTACACTGCCTCGACAGAACACTGCCTCGACAGAACACTGCCTCGACAGAACACTGCCTCGACAGAACACTGCCTCGACAGAACACTGCCTCGACAGTACACTGCCTCGACAGAACACTGCCTCGACAGAACACTGCCTCGACAGAACACTGCCTCGACAAACACGCCTCGACAGTACACTGCCTCGACAGTACACTGCCTCGACAGTACACTGCCTCGACAGAACACTGCCTCGACAGAACACTGCCTCGACAGACACTGCCTCGACAGTACACTGCCTCGACATACACTGCCTCGACAGTACACTGCCTCGACAGAACACTGCCTCGACAGTACACTGCCTCGACAGAACACTGCCTCGACAGAACACTGCCTCGACAGAAACACTGCCTCGACAGAACACTGCCTCGACAGAACACTGCCTCGACAGAACACTGCCTCGACAAAAACACTGCCTCGACAGAACATTTGCCTCGACAGAACACTGCCTCGACAGAACACTGCCTCGACAGAACACTGCCTCGACAGTACACTGCCTCGACAGTACACTGCCTCGACAGTACACTGCCTCGACAGAACACTGCCTCGACAGAACACTGCCTCGACAGTACACTGCCTCGACAGAACACTGCCTCGACAGAACACTGCCTCGACAGAACACTGCCTCGACAGTACACATGCCTCGACAGAACACTGCCTCGACAGTACACTGCCTCGACAGAACACTGCCTCGACAGAACACTGCCTCGACAGAACACTGCCTCGACAGAACACTGCCTCGACAGAACACTGCCTCGACAGAACACTGCCTCGACAGAACACTGCCTCGACAGTACACTGCCTCGACAGTACACTGCCTCGACAGAACACTGCCTCGACAGAACACTGCCTCGACAGTACACTGCCTCGCCCAGAACACTGCCTCGACAGAACACTGCCTCGACAGTACACTGCCTCGACAGAACTACTGCCTCGACAGAACACTGCCTCGACAGTACACTGCCTCGACAGTACACTGCCTCGACAGAACACTGCCTCGACAGAGCACTGCCTCGACAGTACACTGCCTCGACAGTACACTGCCTCGACAGAACACTGCCTCGACAGTACACTGCCTCGACAGAACACTGCCTCGACAGAACACTGCCTCGACAGAGCACTGCCTCGACAGAACACTGCCTCGACAGAACACTGCCTCGACAGTACACTGCCTCCCGACAGAACACTGCCTCGACAGAACACTGCCTCAACAGAACACTGCCTCGACAGAACACTGCCTCGACAGTACACTGCCTCGACAGAACACTGCCTCGACAGTACACTGCCTCGACAGAACACTGCCTCGACAGAACACTGCCTCGACAGAACACTGCCTCGACAGAACACTGCCTCGACAGAACACTGCCTCGACAGAACACTGCCTCGACAGAACACTGCCTCGACAGTAAAACTGCCTCGACAGTACACTGCCTCGACAGAACACTGCCTCGACAGAACACTGCCTCGACAGTACACGCCTCGACAGAACACTGCCTCGACAGAACACTGCCTCGACAGAACACTGCCTCGACAAGTTACACTGCCTCGACAGAACACTGCCTCGACAGTACACTGCCTCGACAGAACACTGCCTCGACAGAACACTGCCTCGACAGAACACTGCCTCGACAGAACACTGCCTCGACAGAACACTGCCTCGACAGAACACTGCCTCGACAGAACACTGCCTCGACAGTACACTGCCTCGACAGTAACACTGCCTCGACAGAACACTGCCTCGACAGAACACTGCCTCGACAGTACACTGCCTCGACAGAACACTGCCTCGACAGAACACTGCCTCGACAGTACACTGCCTCGACAGAACACTGCCTCGACAGAACACTGCCTCGACAGAACACTGCCTCGACAGTACACTGCCTCGACAGTACACTGCCTCGACAGAACACTGCCTCGACAGAACACTGCCTCGACAGAACCTGCCTCGACAGAACACTGCCTCGACAGAGCACTGCCTCGACAGAACACTGCCTCGACAGAACACTGCCTCGACAGAACACTGCCTCGACAGAACACTGCCTCGACAGAACACTGCCTCGACAGAACACTGCCTCAACAGAACACTGCCTCGACAGAACACTGCCTCGACAGAACACTGCCTCGACAGAACACTGCCTCAACAGAACACTGCCTCGACAGAACACTGCCTCGACAGTACACTGCCTCGACAGAACACTGGCCTCGACAGAACACTGCCTCGACAGAACACTGCCTCAACAGAACACTGCCTCGACAGAGCACTGCCTCGACAGAACACTGCCTCGACAGTACACTGCCTCGACAGAACACTGCCTCAACAGAACACTGCCTCGACAGAACACTGCCTCGACAGAACACTGCCTCGACAGAACACTGCCTCAACAGAACACTGCCTCGACAGAACACTGCCTCAACAGAACACTGCCTCGACAGAACACTGCCTCGACAGAACACTGCCTCGACAGAGCACTGCCTCGACAGAACACTGCCTCGACAGAACACTGCCTCGACAGAAACACTCCCTCGACAGAACACTGCCTCGACAGAACACTGCCTCGACAAAAACACTGCCTCGACAGAACACTGCCTCCGACAGAACACTGCCTCGACAGACACTGCCTCGACAGAACACTGCCTCGACAGTACACTGCCTCGACAGAACACTGCCTCGACAGAACACTGCCTCGACAGAACACTATCAGGGTTAATATAAATAATTCATAACCACCCATCAACAACGCTGTAATGTTTTTGTTACTGAATTCACGTCCGCGTAAAAAGAAAAGCTCATTACTATTGTAATCAGATATAAACATATAAATAGTTTATTGCCAGTGTAAGTTGCTTAGTTGTCGAAGCTTCAGTGCTGCTCCCTGGACCCATTATGTGCCTTTATCTTTTAACTTCCGTCTACAAGATAGTTATGTGGTGACAAATTAGACACATGTGCAACACTTGGGTATCTTTATTGTGGAAACATTTGGCTAGACAGTGGCTTCATCAGTCCAATACGAAGAAGAGTGGAGGAATCTGAGGTAAGCAGTCCCTCAGTCTGACGTCGTAAGCAGTCCGTCAATGTTGATTACATCGACTCCAGGCTGAGGAACTGATCACCTCGAACTCCTTCTGATCTTCACCATTCTTTCTTGTATTGGACTGATGAAGCCACTGTGTGGCCAAAAGGTTTCACAATAAAGATACCGAAGTGTTGCACATATGTCTAATTTATCAATTTGTCAGTTCTCTGAACCATTTATCTAAATAGTTACAGAGTACATACTAAAGCTGTCGAACTAACAAACTAACTAACAAGGCCAGAATACTATCAGTCAGGGCTTCCAAAACACCAGAAGAGCTTCAAAAATATTCCCTTTTACTTTGGCCCTGGGTAATATCTGAGTAAACTGCATGCAGAATATCAAGGTTAACCGCGAGAAGGATCTGTGTATGTGCGAGCCAGTAGACCTATAGTAGTCAGCCTTAACATTATTAAGAGGAGCCACAACAGTAACTGCAACAACAGCTCTAGAACCAGTAGCTGTATTTTACCTGTTCTCTAACAGAAGTAATAGTAAAAGCAGTATTAATAATAACAGTAACAAAAGCAGGAATAATAGAAATAGCAGTAGCAACAGTTGAAGCAACAATAGTAGAGTATGCTGATAGTATGTAAATATTACAATAAAACACCATTACCCGCATTGTGGGTAATGGTGTATATTTACAGCAATAATGGCCGCAACAGTCGCGGTAATAGTAATAATATTTGTCGTAATGAAAGACATAATGGCGGTCTTCAACACAGCACCAGACACGATCCATTCCCTGTTATAACAACGCTCAGAGGGAGAGTTCAACTCTCTCCTCGTGGGAACGAACGTATTCCCAAGGTCACCTCAGCATTACCCAACGCATCCTCTATTACCTCTCAAGAGAAAATCAACGTAGAATCTTGCGTTTAACGTAGAAAATCAATACAAGTTTAGCGGCTACGATCTAGGATAACTCTACATCACAACGTAGAAATCTACGGTTAGTTACGTTTAAAGAATACATCTTTAAGTGTCGTCTGGTGTGTGCATAACCACGTATTACCTGATCCCATGCATTAGCTGATAGATTTTCTAACTAGAAACATGGGGAAATGTAAAATTTCTAGATACATTCCAGTGCAGGTTGGGCGGTGGCATGCCTAAGCCCTCTGCCCGACGTCCTGCAGGACCTCTCGCGCGTTCCTGGGGCCCCAGCAGAACTTCAAGGCCGGCACCCCGGTGCCGTATATAAGCCTGGGCTCTGCCACACACCGTATGATTCTCTCGCTTCTGCGTTCAGAAGCACCACCAACGCGGCATCATGCGTTCCCTAGTAAGTACTAGTGTTTTTTGTGTTATAACCTTACGAATAGTGTTCTAATCGTCTAGCTGCTTGGTCCTCCTTCTAGTGTACTAGAAGTACAGGTGGATGGATTGACTTACATTGGAGACGACTGCTGTTTGATATAACCATGACTGATGACTTCTTTTTTCAGATTGAAATGACGTGATGTATATTTTTTGACGGCTACTGCTGATAAGGATATGAAGATGAACACTGCACAGGAAGAAATATTTACTGTACACGACATTTCGTCACGAACGAAACGTTCCTATACATATAATTTGAGTTTATAGTGTCTTTGGATAAACAGCCCAGTTGCTTGTAATAAATGTTAAGAGATCAGTGCATGAGGCTTCAGTGTATTTCCAGCATTCATTTTTTGTTCACAATTTCAGAGTCTGAGATTTATTTCTCAGGTTTTTCCCCTAGATATTTATGAATGCTGCACTTGTGGGGCTCCGTATCCAGGCGCCATAACACGCTAGAGGTGTATCATGTATCCTGATGTTTATTTATATATTTACTCTAGGCACTGAACCTTTGCGAGTCATCCAGAGCAAGGCTCGATACTCCGACAGATTACTGCGAGACAAAAACTTTAACTTTCTTAGCAGTCGAGTGTGCTCAAACGAGTTTCGTTGTTTTCCTGCAGGTGATCGTGAGTGTAGTTCTCGGCGTTGCCTTCGGTCAGGGATTTCCTCGCGATACGCCAGAGGTACAGGCAGCCCGCGACGCCTTTATCAGGGAATACAACCGCCTGGCGGAGCTGGCAGAACGAGCCCCTGACATCCACATCTACGAGCAAAGGCCACTGCTTCCAGGACAGACCCGTCCAGTGCCTGTTCCTGCCTTCAATGACTTCTCTTTCTCGGCCAACCTAGGAGGTAACCAGCAATTTGTGCCCGGCCCTAACACCTTCCCCTCCGCTGGGCATCTGGCTGGGCACTTGGCAGGACACCATGCAGGACACAATGTCCCTGCTCCCAGGCCCGCAGCACCCCGGCCTTCTGCCCATCGCTTCTCTCCTCCTTCAGACTACTCCCCTCCCTGGACGGGGCCGCTAGCAGATGATGTCCCCGCAGGCGTCAGTGGTAGAACACAGGACACCCCAAATGTTGCAGCAGCCAAGGCCGCCCACTTCCGTGCCCACGCCTCTGTCCTGGGTATAAGGGTGTGAGGAAGAACCAGCATCATTAGGTCAAATACTTTTTCTTCTTCAAGCAAGTCAGGCCAACCGTCAGTATACCAGGGTCTAGGGAACTCTGAGGAGGCCTAGAGGCAGTCCCTGAGTCCCGTGCCAAAGAGTCATAGCTTCTGGAAGTTCTATATCTTTTGTAAAATATTCTTCAGCAGCGCTGTATAGTCCTTGTGGCTTAGCGCTTCTTTTTGATTAAAATAATAATAATAATGTAAAATATTCTCGAATCATTATAACCGGCTTTTATTGTCCTTAAACCAGTTATTACCCCCTCCCCCAGTGATTGTGTTTATGTCCATTGTCTTCAAAATATTCAAGGTAACCCCCCTTCCTTCTCTCTCTCTCTCTCTCTCTCTCTCTCTCTCTCTCTCTCTCTCTCTCTCTCTCTCTCTCTCTCTCTCTCTCTCTCTCTCCTCTCTCTCTCTCTCTCTCTCTCTCTCTCTCGATAATTCCAGAGCACAAACCAGAGAATTAAAATGTTCCCAACATCAGTTTTCTCTCTACTGTCGAAGAGTCTTCCTCAAGGGAGGTTCCTTGACGCTGGTGAGGAGCTCTTGATCTAGGGAACTGGATCTGCGCTCCAGTTCCCCGAATTAAGTCTGAATACCTTCCATCCCCCTCCCCCAACAGGCGCTGTATAATCCTACGGGTTTAGCGCTTCCCCATGATAATTATAATGTTGAAGAGTCAACTTCCTTGAGATTATCTATCAACTTGTTAAGGTAGTGTGACTTTCCTTGACCTTACCAACAGTGTGATGCTGGTAAGATCAACTACCACCATCACGACTACTACCACCATCACGACTACTACCACCATCACGACCACTACCACCATCACGACCACTACCACCATCACGACCACTACCACCATCACTACTACCACCATCGACCACACCACCATCACTACCACTACCACCATCACAACCACTACCACCATCACGACCACTACCACCATCACAACTACTACCACCATCACGACCACTACCCCCATAATGATGCGACTCACACCATTCGACTAACACCTTGGTATCTATTTACTGCTGGGTGAACAGGAACAGCAGCAGGTGTTTTGAGGAAATACGCCCCCAGTGTTTCCACCCATACAGGAGATCGAACCACGGATCTAAATGTGTGAGCTGAGTGCTTAGGCCGTAGGTTGTTTTGAAGATTTTATTATACTCTTAAGTTGGCCCTGGTGTGGGCACAGCCCTGGTGTGGGCACAGCCCTGGTGTGGGCATGGCCCTGGTATTTACGTGGGGGTTATGTGACTTGAGGCGAGTACAGAATACTTCTTTTCACCTGGAAGCTGGAATCTGGAAGCTGGAAGCAGGCAGGGATAGTGTTATGGAGACCCACTGTTATGGGTATTGTAATTTATATATGTCGTGGCCTTAATTAACTGGTAGCAGTGTACTAGTATATTACTGTGTAATACGGCAGGTTTTGTGTTGTATATATTATGGAAAATATATGAATATTTGTGTAAAGGTAGATTTTTTTTATCTATCCTTGTTAATCAGACCTAAAGTATTTATCACATGTTTAATATTTTTTGTAGTTTACGAAGCTGAGTGGACTCAGGGTTGCTATTATTTAAGTAACTTTATAAAGTCCGGCTGTATGGCCCGGTACATTAGCTTTTCGTCTCTCTTGCCGGAGTTCATTGGTTGGAACCTACAGCATAAACATAATCATGGGGGAGCGCTAAACCCGTAGGATTATACAGCGCATGTGGGTGGGATGGAAGGTATTCAGACTCAATTCAGGGAACCGGAGCACAGATTCAATTCCCTGGATCAAGAGCCCCTCACCAGCGTCAAGGAACCTCCCTTGAGGGGATTGTTGGAACCTACAGCATTAACTGGTATACCACTAGACAAGGTATTTAAGAAGCACGTCAGTTCCCCCGGTCTTCCAATAACACGTTCATTTTTCCAGTATAATCTACCTTGCCCATAATTACTATCGCATTAATTTGTCTGTTTCGTAAGGTGTAGTCCAGGATCTTTCCTTAATTTACGGTATAACTTAGCTAACCTTTGAGGACAATTGTGTACATTAGATCTCTGTTTACATAGACTATCATAAACTATCCTGGGAATAGTTAACAAATTTACTCATACAGCTAATTTCTCTATAAAAGTCCGTTTTTAAAAATTAAATTATGTGCTTTTAGGATGATTTATATGAAGATAATTATCAGCAATGTTGTAATATTGGGTTATTGTTGGTGACGGTGGATCAGTCAGCTGTGTGGAGCATTACGTCACCCCAGGTACTGCTGCTTTGACCTGACGTGTCAGTGTCAGATTAGTGGTGAGTGGGTGTACCTCCAGTGTCAGCTTAGTGGTGAGTGGGTGTACCTCCAGTGTCAGCTTAGTGGTGAGTGGGTATACCTCCAGTGTCAGCTTAGTGGTGAGTGGGTGTACCTCCAGTGTCAGCTTAGTGGTGAGTGGGTGTAACTCCAGTGTCAGCCTAGCAGTGAGTGGGTGTAACTCCAGTGTCAGCCTAGGAGTGAGTGGGTGTACCTCCAGTGTCAGCTTAGCGGTGAGTGGGTGTACCTCCAGTGTCAGCTTAGTGGTGGGTTGGTGTACCTCCAGTGTCAGCCTAGCAGTGAGTGGATGTACCTCCAGTGTCAGCTTAGTGGTGAGTGGGTGCATCTCCAGTAAAAGCTTAGTGGTGAGTGGATGTACCTCCAGTGTCAGCTTAGTGGTGAGTGGATGTACCTTCAGTATCAGCTTAATGAGTGGGTGCACCTCCAGTATCAGCTTAGTGGTGAGTGGGTGTACCTCCAGTCTCAGCTTAGTGGTGAGTGGGTGTACCTCCAGTATCAGCTTAGTGGTGAGTGGGTGTGCCTCCAGTATCAGCTTAGTGGTGAGTGGGTGCACCTCGTTCAGTAGCAGTGAGTGGGTGTACCTCCAGTTCAGCTTAGTGGTGAGTGGGTGTACCTCCAGTGTCAGCTTAGTGAGTGAGGGGGGGTCCCCCAGTGTTTAGCTTAGTGGGGAGTGGGTGTACCTCCCAGTGTCAGCCCCAGTGGAAATGGGTGTACCTCCAGTGTCAGCTTAGTGGTGAGTGGGTGTACCTCCAGTGTCAGCTTAGTGGTGAGTGGGTGTACCTCCAGTTTCAGCTTAGTGGTGAGTGGGTGTACCTCCAGTGTCAGCTTAGTGGTAAGTGGGTGTACCTCCAGTGTCAGCTTAGTGGTGAGTGGGTGTACCTCCAGTGTCAGCTTAGTGGTGAGTGGGTGTACCTCCAGTGTCAGCCTAGCGGTGAGTGGGTGTACCTCCAGTGTCAGCTTAGCGGTTAGTGGGTTTTACCTCCAGTGTCAGCTTAGTGGTGGAGTGGGTGTACCTCCAGTGTCAGCTTAGTGGTGAGTGGGTGTACCTCCAGTGTCAGCCTAGCGGTGAGTGGGTGTGCCTCCAGTGTCAGCTTAGCGGTTAGTGGGTGTACCTCCAGTTTCAGCTTAGCGGTGAGTGGGTGTACCTCCAGTGTCAGCTTAGCGGTGAGTGGGTGTACCTCCAGTGTCAGCTTAGCGGTGAGCGGGTGTACCTCCAGTGTCAGCTTAGTGGTGAGCGGGTGTACCTCCAGTGTCAGCTTAGTGGTGAGTGAACCTCCAGTGTCAGCTTAGTGGTGAGTGGGTGTACCTCCAGTGCCAGCTTAGTTGTGACTGATTGTACCTCCAGTATCAGCTTAGTGGTGAGTGGGTGTACCTCCAGTATCAGCTTAGTGGTGAGTGGGTGTACCTCCAGTCTCAGCTTAGTGGTGAGTGGGTGTACCTCCAGTCTAGCTTAGTGGTGAGTGGGTGTACCTCCAGTATCAGCTTAGTGGTGAGTGGGTGTACCTCCAGTCTCAGCTTAGTGGTGAGTGGGTGTACCTCCAGTGTCAGCTTAGTGGTGAGTGTACCTCCAGTGTCAGCTTAGTGAGTGGGTGTACCTCCAGTGTCAGCTTAGTGGTGAGTGTACCTCCTGTGTCAGCTTAGTGAGTGGGTGTACCTCCAGTGTCAGCTTAGTGGTGAGTGTACCTCCAGTGTCAGCTTAGTGAGTGGGTGTACCTCCAGTGTCAGCTTAGTGAGTGGGTGTACCTCCAGTATCAGCTTAGTGGTGAGTGGGTGTACCTCCAGTGTCAGCTTAGTGGTGAGTGTACCTCCAGTGTCAGCTTAGCAGTGATTGGGTGTACCTCCAGTGTCAGCTTAGTTGTGAGTGGGTGTACCTCCAGTGTCAGCTTAGTGGTGAGTGAATGTACCTCCAGTGTCTGCCTACAGTGTGTGTTTTACCTCCAGTGTCAGCTTAGGAGTGATTGGGTGTACCTCCAGTGTCAGCTTAGTTGTGAGTGGGTGTACCTCCAGTGTCAGCTTAGTGGTGAGTGAATGTACCTCCAGTGTCTGCCTAGCAGTGAGTGGTTGTACCTCCAGTGTCAGCTTAGTGGTGACTGGTTGTACCTCCAGTGTCAGCTTAGTGGTGAGTGGGTGTACCTCCAGTGTCAGCTTAGTGGTAAGTGGGTGTACCTCCAGTCTCAGCTTAGTGGTGAGTGGGTGTACCTCCAGTGTCAGCTTAGTGGTGAGTGTACCTCCAGTGTCAGCTTAGCAGTGAGTGGGTGTACCTCCAGTGTCAGCTTAGTGGTGAGTGGGTGTACCTCCAGTGTCAGCTTAGTGGTGAGTGGGTGTACCTCCAGTGTCAGCTTAGTGGTGAGTGGTACCTCCAGTGTCAGCCTAGCAGTGAGTGGGTGTACCTCCAGTGTCAGCTTAGTGGTGAGTGTACCTTCAGTGTCAGCTTAGTGGTGAGTGTACCTTCAGTGTCAGCTTAGTGGTGAGTGGGTGTACCTCCAGTGTCAGCTTAGTGGTGAGTGAGTGTACCTCCAGTGTCAGCTTAGTGGTGGGTGTACCTCAGTGTCAGCTTAGTGGTGAGTGGGTGTACCTCCTGTGTCAGCTTAGTGGTGAGTGGGTGTACCTCCAGTGTCAGCTTAGTGGTGAGTGGGTGTACCTCCAGTGTCAGCTTCAGTGTGAGTGGTGTACCTCCAGTGTCAGCCTTTGAGTGAGTGTACCTCCAGCGTCAGCCTTAGTGTGAGTGGGTGTACCTCCTGTGTCAGCTTAGTGGTGAGTGGGTGTACCTCCTGTGTCAGCCTAGCAGTGAGTGGGTGTACCTCCAGTGTCAGCCTAGCAGTGAGTTGGTGTACCTCCAGTGTCAGCCTAGCAGTGAGTGGGTGTACCTCCAGTGTCAGCCTAGCAGTGAGTGGGTGTACCTCCAGTGTCAACCTAGCAGTGAGAGAGTGTACCTCCAGTGTCAGCCTAGCAGTGAGTGGGTGTACCTCCAGTGTCAGCCTAGCAGTGAGTGGGTGTACCTCCAGTGTCAGCCTACACTGAGGGGTACCTCCAGTGTCAGCCTAGCAGTGAGTGGGTGTACCTCCAGTGTCTGCCTAGCAGTGAGAGAGGGGTACCTCCAGTGTCAGCCTAGCAGTGAGTGGGTGTACCTCCAGTGTCAGCCTAGCAGTGAGTGGGTGTACCTCCAGTGTCAGCCTCACACTGAGTGTACCTCCAGTGTCAGCCTAGCAGTGAGTGGGTGTACCTCCAGTGTCTGCCTAGCAGTGAGTGGGTGTACCTCCAGTGTCAGCCTAGCAGTGAGTGGGTGTACCTCCAGTGTCAGCTAGCTGAGTGGGTGTACCTCCATCAGTGGTTTTCCAGTCAGTGAGTAGTGGTGTACCTCCAGTGTCTGCCTAGCAGTGAGTGGGTGTACCTCCAGTGTCAGCAGTGAGTGGGTGTACCTCCAGTGTCAGCAGTGAGTGGGTGTACCTCCAGTGTCAGCAGTGAGTGGGTGTACCTCCAGTGTCAGCAGTGAGTGGGTGTACCTCCAGTGTCAGCAGTGAGCGGGTGTACCTCCAGTGTCAGCAGTGAGTGGGTTGTACCTCCAGTGTCAGCAGTGAGTGGGTGTACCTCCAGTGTCAGCAGTGAGTGGGTGTACCTCCAGTGTCAGCAGTGAGTGGGTGTACCTCCAGTGTCAGCAGTGAGTGGGTGTACCTCCCAGTGTCAGCAGTGAGTGGGTGTCCTCCAGTGTCAGCAGTGAGTGGGTTTTACCTCCAGTGTCAGCAGTGAGTGGGTGTACCCCAGTGTCAGCAGTGAGTGGGTGTACCTCCAGTGTCAGCAGTGAGTGGGTGTACCTCCAGTGTCAGCAGTGAGTGGGTGTACCTCCAGTGTCAGCAGTGAGTGGGTGTACCTCCAGTGTCAGCAGTGAGTGGGTGTACCTCCCTGTCAGCAGTGAGTGGGTGTACCTCCAGTGTCAGCAGTGAGTGGGTGTACCTCCAGTGTCAGCAGTGAGTGGGTGTACCTCAATTTAAATATTTGTTTTCGGGTAGATTATATATAATAATACATATAAAAGAAAAGAATTATTTTGGAAGACTAGGGAGGAAGGAGATAGGAAGAGGTGGACGAGGATATGAAGGATGGAGGGACGAGGAAGAAGGTAATAAACGAAGGTGGAGAACATCACGATGGTGAGGAAGGTCATGGTGAGCCTGTGTACTCACCTGGTTGCAGGGGTCGAGCCACAGCTCCTGGACCCGTGTGTGTGTGTGTGTGTGTGTACTCACCTAGTTGAGGTTGCGGGGGTCGAGTCCGATCTCCTGGCCCCGCCTCTTCACTGATCGCTACTAGGTCACTCTCCCTGAGCCGTGAGCTTTATCATACCTCTGCTTAAAGCTATATATGGATCCTGCCTCCACTACATCGCTTCCCAAACTATTCCACTTACTGACTACTCTGAGGCTGAAGAAATACTTCCTAACATCCCTGTGATTCATCTGTGTCTTCAGCTTCCAACTGTGTCCCCTTGTTACTGTGTCCAGTCTCTGGAACATCCTGTCTTTGTCCACCTTGTCAATTCCTCTCAGTATTTTGTATGTCGTTATCATGTCCCCCCTATCTCTCCTGTCCTCCAGTGTCGTCAGGTTGATTTCCCTTAACCTCTCCTCGTAGGACATGCCTCTTAGCTCTGGGACTAGTCTTGTTGCAAACCTTTGCACTTTCTCTAGTTTCTTTACGTGCTTGGCTAGGTGTGGGTTCCAAACTGGTGCCGCATACTCCAATATGGGCCTAACATACACGGTGTACAGGGTCCTGAATGATTTCTTTGTGTGTGTGTGTGTGTGTGTGTGGTGTGTGTGTGTGTGTGGTGTGTGTACACCGAATTATGCTTTCATGGGTCGAGACTCTGCTCCTGGCCCCTCTTCCTAGACCACTGTGATGGGCATCACCGACTTCTAGCCTCTTGAGGTTTGTCATATATA